CCATCTAGTTTGAGGGTATTCCTCTCGGGCTTCCACCATTGCACTATATTATAGTTTTCAACTCATAAGACTATGTGGTATTAAGACCACGGATAGTCACGAATGGTGTCCTCAAAGTATATGGATAAACAAATCTATTTGTTAAAAATCACTCTCTCGAGCCGATTCTCATATCATTCAAGTTGGCGCGTGCTCTAAGTAGTTTATCTCTGAATCTGCCGCACTTTAACAAGTGACCAACCAGTCGAGAATTAATTAGTTTGAAAGATATAAATGACAAGTCTCCTTGTCGGCAATATTCTCAAGTCGATCTATCATATCATTCAAATTGACGTGCATTCAATAGCTTATCTTTAAGATCATGACACTTTAACACTTTTTAAGTTATCAACTTGTCAAGAAATGTCATTAGTTTTTATAAAACTTGAATGAAATAGTGGAACGTTGTTATTGCGAAATGCTAGACCAGTAGAATGGTGACATTATCTCTACCTATTGTATTTCAGTTGTATGGTGACATTTTTCTACCTATTAATTTTTGAAAATGCTAGACCAATAGACCTTTTTTTTTGCAAGGTCTGAATGTTGAAAAATTTTAATGTCACACCTCGCTAAAGCGGAAACACGAGGTGTAACAGGTAAGCGTTTCACAGCACCAAATAATAGATAACACCATTCAATTTACAAGTTTAAAATTTTAACACCCATAACCAAATTGGAGTTAGAATAATCTTTTACAAAAGATACAAAATAAAGGAAATCGGTGTCATCGCAAAAGTGCTTCCAAAACTTCAATTCTTACTTAAATTCCTGAAAAAAATGAAACATAAAACGACGTCAACTACAAAGAGTTAGTGAGTTCACGAGTTTTTATATGCACAAAATATTTAAAGCATAAATCACTTCTTGCAAACTAATACATAAACTTGCACAAGATAAATATAAATTTTTAACGATGTTTAAAACTTGAGACGCTACTGAGTCATACCTGACCAATGTGCCCCCATTATTTTACGAACTACCATAAAGTGGCGCGTTCGCTCATTTAAGTATCATGGTTCGTATCAGTACTACTTAAGCGGTGGCCTGTTCGCACACATGAGTTGACTATTAAACATAGGTAATGTGCACTCGTTTTTGGGTGGGACTGTCAACACAATAGCGGCTATCCACAATTACCACGGCCCGGGAACATGCCCGAGTTAACTAGTAGCATTTACGGAAGGGGACTTTTTAAAATATACTCTCAAGTACATCAATTTATCATTTATACATATTGCAATAACAATCAATTTTTCATGATTTCAACAATTTTTGACTAAACAGTTATTTAATACAACAGTTTTACAACTAAACAGTATAGTTTGCAGACTTTCATGTTTTTCCCCCAATTTCAATAAACAAAACAGTAAAAGTGGGGCTATGTATACTCACAAGTTTGCTGATGAATATCCAAGAACTTGATGACGTTTGAAGCACTAAACGTCCGCCGTAACTTTCCTATATAGTCCGAAATCCAATAATTAGATCACCTATCGGGTCTCGATAAAGATAAAGTCAAATTATATCTTATGTAATGTCAATAAGTTTTTATGGATTAAAGTTGATACTTATTATTTGTTCTTAAAAATGGTCCAATATTTATGTATTTTAAGATCAAAGTTTTTTGCACAAAAAGTTACCACTTGGACAGAATGTAAATTCTATTTCTGGAATTTTGGTCTTACAAATCACTGTCAAAAGAAACCTTCCACAAGTCATTTTATGTTCAAATTTTTATACCACAAATGTTATTGTGTTAGACAACTTCTGTCCAAATTCCACACATTTTGGCTGTGTTTTAGTAATTCAAATGTCCAACTCATTTTCACATGTCAAAGCAATCTGGACAGATTGCATCCTATCAAATCTGAGGTCAAATGGAAGGTCTAAACTTAATGTTTTTCAATGATTTCACTTGAGTTGTAAACTTAACTCATTAATCCAACTTCCAGAAAAAGAATTACACATTTTTATTAGTTTTTGAGAGAGTTATGCCACTTTGAACAGGCATGTACGTTTCTGTCCAGTAGCATCATTTTGCACCAGAGTTTTATGTCAAGCATTTAAATGCTCAAAACTCAATATTTTTGAGTGAAACAAAAAACAATAGAACAACAACTCATCAAAGTAAACTCCAGAAGAAAATGATATATTTTGGATAAGTTTTTAAAGAGCTATGTATGTTCAAAGTAGGGTTTACCTACTGTTGAAGATACTGTTGCATACTTAACTTGTTCTAAATGATTGGAGGGTCAAAACTCCTTCTTTTTACACAATTCCAGTTGGAAAAGAACCATAACTCATCAAAGTACATTTTAAAAGAAAAATTAGAGCATTTGGACTTTTACTTTAGAAGATACAGACGACATAATTGCTAGTAAACAATCTGTCAGTTCCAAAATGCCACTTTTAATGGTTAAATTCCACATGCAATGTGGTTTTACCCCATTTCCTTGAGTTCTAAGTTTGTAGATCATAGATTATCACCATTTTGAAGACATGTTCATATTTTTGATGAATAATCTCCCATCTTAGATTCTCCAGAAAATTTGAGCTCAAAAAGAAGAAAGATATGTGTAAAAAAAATGAGAAATAATGTTGAAAAATACAAAGACAATGTAACTAATCTATTACCTTTTGCTTGCTACTACTTGAAAACTTGAATGTTCTTCAAAAATTATGGAATTTAAGAGTGTTTGAAGGATGGATTCAGCTGGAATGGAAGAGGAAGAGTCTAGTGAGAGAAGAAAGTAATACAAATGAAGGTGAGAATGAGAGATTTCAAAAGAAGTGGGTTTTATATGTGGTCTAAATGAGAATAAAGAGGCCGACCCTTTCAAGGCCCAATCCAACTCATATTCATTTTTATTTTCTTATAAAAATAAAGCCCATTTAAATGTTAGCATAAATACAATTTGTCAGATACCGATAAAAATATCAGTATTAGATCAAAAATCTAAATTTTTGTAAAATTATTTGAACATTCAAATGAGACTTTTACATTTTTAATTTGGATTTTAATATCAACTTTATTATGTTTGGAGAATTTTTAATGTACTTGACATTACATAAGTTAACTTTATCAGTTACCCGTTGAAACAGGGTTTTCTGAACTATAATTTGGGAACTAAGCCAGAAGAATTCTAATCAACATGACTAGACCCTAATAAAATATAATTCTAAATATAGAATATAAAAATGCTAACCTGACGCTCCAAAAATGACGAATGTCACAGTTAACCAATATTCAGATTTATGTTTATAAAGATTGACATCTATTTGTAAAAGTCCTATCTTAAAAAACAGTTGATATTCATCTTGACTGGTTGAAAAAAAACTACTCGTACAATGCATTTTTAGTTGCTATTATGAAGAAACTCATCAGCTCGAAAAATTGATTCTTTTAACGAAAGCCAAGAACCTGGATTACCTGGTTGTGTTAGTGAAGGAAGGAAAACTTAAACTCGTAATTGACTCGGCCGAAAAGGCTTGGGCCAAGAGCATCATGTTCTTATATTTACATACATATCTATTGTAAACCTATTTTTTTAAAACTATTTTACAACCATAGTCTTATTTGTCTTTTTTTAAGAGGGCTACATAACTAGTGTATGTTTATGGAAAAATATTATTTATATGATTTGATTCTTATTTAATAAAAAAATTATTGGTATGTTTAAAATCAAAAACAGACATTTAAGTATTTACCGTAAATATCTGAGAAAACCATTGAAAATAATTCTTCTACTGATGAACCACAAACTTCAACTTCAAAATCATAATAGCAATCAAGAACAAAATTTTCATCTTATATTATATTTGCAATTAAAAACCATAAAATTAGCCACAATCATTTTAACCATGGTGACTAAGTCAACTTGCTTGTAATTTAATTAGGGGTTGTCTAACAATTGCTGAATGGTTTGGTGTAGAATGATTAAGTGGTCAGAATGATTAAGAGGCTTTCATGATATAATGCAAAAATAAAATATAAGTATTTGGTAATTGTGTACATAAAATTAGGGCTCTTAATGGTTAAGAAAAAGATCCATGATACAAAATCATTCAGATGGTTTTAGAACCATTAAGAGACAGACTTTTTTTTGCCAAACAAGATTCACCTCTTAATGATTCAGAGGTTACCTCTTAATGGAACTATTAAGAGGTAAACAAACAACCCCTTAATCTCAAGAGTCTTGAAAAAATTAGAATCGATGATTATGAGAAAAATTCACATAACAACATCATCTACTAATCATTTTTCACACAAAGAAACATGTTTTTCCGAAAAAGGTAAAATGGATCAACTAACATCGGGATGGACGAAAAAGAGAAAAAAATTAAATATGATTGATATTACATGTTCTCAGCTTTGGATCAAGATACACACCATAACATTGCGCGAGTACCTTACTAGTATAAATAAAATATATAATTTTTTAACTTTTAATAAATAATTAGAAATGGGTGTAAAGTGATTAAAACCTTTGGTTTCGATGAGAGTAATTAAGAGTTATGGTGAGAAAGTGAGAATAAAACATTCATATACATTGGAATGTTATTTATTCACCTATTTCTATCATCAAAAACTTTAACAATGGGAAAATGATTTAATCTGTCATAACACCCAAAGCATCTAGTGTAACTTACAAGTATCTCAGTTCACGCAACACACCAAATATATATAAGGCATTTGAATGGAAAGGTGATTAGAACTCCGTAAGATTGTAAACATAGTTTTTTATTCATATAATAGAATTTGATGAGATTTGCATACATGGATGTTCATGGCAGCTGAAACAAGAAGCAAGTACATGAGTTGGACATTTACTACTGTGACAGTTGCTGCATGATCATTTTGTTGATTCTTGGATCAGGATCAATTTATTGAAAGAAACACCAACAAGGAGAAGCTAGCATATGTCGTTGCTGGAGTTTGATTATTCACTTGATTAACTCTAGAATTCTTCCTTGGGTGGTTGATTTCCATCCCTGATGATTGGGTAAGAAGCCTCCAATGCTATGCCACACATCCCCCACGGGAAAGGAGCGTCTTTTGCTATTCGAATGTATCCACCCTCTCCCCAATCTTGTCCCCAGGAGTTCTTCAGTATCCAGAACTTCTGCGTGTCATCATATCCGACCACCGTTAGCCCATGGCTCAGTTCCTTTCCACAGTCTCCGGTTAAGATTCCCTGTTCAATCATATAATAAAAATGATGACAATAATTGTAATCAGATTTTTGTAACCTTTGCTGTAAGGCTTTCAGAATGAGAACAAATTATGGTATGTATGTTTGTAGCGGAAGATTCATTAATTATACAGAAAACCCTGAATTTGATGCATCTTGTTTACGTTTTTGTATCATCTGTTTATGTAATTTGTGAATACCTCTCCATATAACTGGAAATCAATAGGAGTATCAAYGCAARCCGCTACCGGCTGGGCTGCAACTGCTTTCATTAGAGCSGCCTCGTTCTCCATAGGGACATCCTTATATGAATCKATCTTTGCCACTTTATTAGCAATCTGCAATCCATAAAGAGAAYGAATGTTAGTGTKAAGTTGGTTGTAGAAGTTATAYAAGGTTGGTTGTACCTTTGCCTGATTGCAWGTTCCAGCTGCCATTGTGTAAGGGTAGCTCTCCTCTGAAGTTAAACCTCCATTCCTCTTCACGTATGTGAATCCATAATCCAACACCCCTCCGTCACATCCCTTGTTCATTTCACGGTCACAGTCTACAAGTTCTTGTGCCGATAGTGGTACTAGCTGTTTGGTTTTGATTGCATTTGCCGACTCGACAGTAGACACTACCGCAAATGCCCAGTCACATGCTGCATTATCAGGAAAGGAAAAACGACTAAGTATACCCAAGTAACTATATATATAGATAGATAGATATTGAGAGAGAGAGAGAGACTGTGTGTGTGTGTGTGTGTGTTGGAAAAGGTGTTGATTATACGTACCACATTCGCCTTGATCCTTGACAGGGCTAACTGCGTTCTGGGTTCTCCAATCAACCGCAGGAGGAGCAGGGGTATCTGCGGCGTTGTTGGAGCCCCCTCCTGGTCCTAGCAAACTCCGGGAATGTCTGCTGTGGGTGCCACTATACTGGATCCTAAACTCCTCGTTAGTCAAATCAGCAAACTTGTTCAACTTCAACTTGWAAGGCAASTTGGCCTTGTTTGTCGATTCAACACGTTCCAAGTTGGCCKTRAATGCTTTGAASCGCTTCTTTTTATCCTCMGGKKWTGGCTCCGGCCTCTTGTACTCGGCCCTCCACCTGTCATACAACGCCATCTTGGTCTSATCCGATTTCAARTCGGCATCAGTGAAATCCAAGCTCTGCACAAACCCCAAAACCAAAAGCGATGCAAGTGAAAACAAAACCAGCCTCTTCATTTCCATTTCTTAATTAAGTTGTATTGAAAGATGATGATCGATGCTTGATGTTGGGAACCTGGTGTTTGCGTTTATTATATAGCGGAACATGAGACCCTAACACTTGCAGATTAAGTGGACGAGAGGTAACGTCGGGGCTCGATCAACAGAAACACAAACAATGTTACCTTCCAACCACGCAAACCCCTAAAGATCCGATATAAGGAATGGGTGGCATTCTTTTGTGGGTCAATATCCTCCTTTTTTGGGGGTTTGAACAAACGTAAAAGGACCAAAAATGGCGGTATAAAAAAACAGAACAATTCATCATTTGTTAAATTTACGTTTAGATTTATACTCCTTTTTGAGTTACAAAATAATTTTCATTTACACCACTTCCTTTTTTAACATCATCATACTTTTTACATAAATTTAAATATTTTGAATATATATATATATATAGGTGAGTTATTATATAACATTTTTACATTTGTACAACTAATACAACTTAATCTCAGCTGTCCATTTAATTTAATGAATATGTGATTTCATAAAAGTTTTAATTATTTGTAATATAAAGTATTGATCATAATTAATGAACTCTAGTTATTTTCCATAAATATTCAAATCATAATAAATGAACTATTATCATTCTCATAAATACTTAAATTGATTGTGTTGCATTGGTTGTAGAAATGGACATGATTGTATTTGAAATATATATATATATATATATATATGTGTGTGTGTGTGTGTGTGTGAAATCATTTATTTGTTTTAACAAATTACACCGTTACAACATACCTCTAAAAGAATTGCAATGTTGAATATTAATGTTATTTTTTATCATTATATTAAATTAAATACTTTTTCTAAATTTACTAATTAATTTGGATAACAACAAAATATAGATAAATATACTCACACTCAATCCTTACACTACTGAAATATTTTCTCATAATCACTTAACTGTAAACATCTTGTAAGTTACGATTTGGTTTTGTAGATTACGATTCTCTCAAGATATATATATATATATATATATATATATATATATATATATATATATATACTAGAAGCGTACTCGCGCAATGCAGCGG